GAACATATAATGGTACTGAGGCTAAAGCGTGCATTTGGCCTCTTGTCTCTTATAACTGTGTATGCTTCTACTGATGTTTGCAATCTCGACATAAAAGAGATGTTTTGTGCCAAACTTGCTTTTGTAATGGACAGTTGTCCTCGGTGAGATATTTGTTTTGTTATGGGTGACTGCAATGTGGTATCTGGCTGTGATCGAGCTGGCTATGAGATGCCTGTCGGTCCCCATGGTTCAGGAGCTGGTGCCAGCAGCGAGAATAGCCTCCTTTTCCAGGATTTTCCAAAGTCTCAGAAATTGAGGATTTCTCGCTCTTGGTACCAGTGCTCTAGCCCACGTCATTGTACATGGTATAGCAATGCAGGTAATGCAACCAAGGAGATCGACCACATACTCGTTAGCACTCGGAGGATCCTCCAGAACTACAGGGTGTATAGGAGTGCCGAGTTCTGTGGTACTGACCATAGATTGGTTGTGACTACCCTCTGAGTTCACTTCAAAACTCCCCATCAGTCCAATAACCACCTTAGGGTGTTTCATCTGGACAGGTTGAGGGAGGGAGAGTGTGCCCGGGAGTTTCCTAAGACAATCTCTGGTTGTTTCACAGAGCTTGACAAACCTGATGGACCCTGTAGTTCTGTGGGACACCTTCAGGTGTAAAACGCTCGATGCAGCTAAAGAATCAATAGATGAATGCGGCTCATCTAACATGTGATCAGAATTTGCATTGTTCCTTGGTGTGTAGGAGTCAGTCACTGCTGAAAAGGGACAAGGAAGAGTATATTAGGTGTCTTGCAGAGGAGGTCGCAGATCATTTCTTAGTAAATGACCTTCGTCCTGCATATCAAGGTCTGACAAAGCTGAACTCTAAACCCTCTTCACAGGTGTTTGTAGTCCGCTCAATAAGTGGCCAGATTGTCTCAGATCCTGTTGGGGTGTTGGGCTGAGTATTTTGATCAGTAGTACCAAGTTGATCCACCAACAGTTAACTTGAAAGTGGGTAGTGTCGAGATTCTGCTGCCGGACCTACCCATCAGTGAGAATCCACCCTCCCTAACTGAAGTTAAGGGGGTGATCTCCAAGCTGAAGAGTGGCAAAGCAGCGGGTATCTGCGGCATCCCATCTGAACTATCAAAGGCTGGTGGTGAACCTATGGTTTGGGGGTTGCATGCTGTCCTAGCTGCCATCTGAGAGTCTGGTACCTTTTTGCCTAACCTGTTGAGGGGTGTAGTCATCGCTCTCTGGAAAGGGAAAAGGGATCGATGGGACTGCAGCAATCACCGAGGCATTACACTGCTCAGTATACCAAACAAGGTTCTCGCCCACCTCCTTCTGAGACGTATCAGAGATCACCTGCTAAAGCACCAGAGACCGGAGCAATCTGGATTCACTCCTGGTAAGTCCACAATAGACTATATCCTGGCCCCTCTAGTCATTGTAGAGCGTTGTCATGAGTTCAGACATGGGCTGCTTGCAGCTTTCATCAACATCAAGGGGGTGTTCGATATGGTGCATCATGAATCACTCTGGGAGATTCTGAGATTGAGAGGAATTCCAACAAGGATTATTGGACTAATAGCAAGCCTGTATGTATACTGGTACAAAAAGTACTGTAAAGTGTGTTGGGGGCCTGTCAAGCTTTTTTCCTTTTTAGTACAGGAGTGAGGCAAGGCTGTGTCCTTGCACCAGCACTTTTCAACACATGTGTGGACTGAATACTGGGCAGAGCTATTCTCCAAAGCCAATGTGGAGCAGCTCTGGGCAATATCAAGGTTATTGACGACATGGCTGACGATTTTACTATTCTATCTGTGTCCTTGGAAACCCTAATGGTGGTTCTACATGCATTTAGCAATGAAACAAAGCCCCTGAGTCTAGAGATATCGGTACATGCTTGAGACCTTTACATACCTTGGGAGAGTAGTTCATGATTATGGGCTGTTAGACCAGAAAGTCAGTGGATGGTATGGCCTGGCAGCAGGGGTCATGAACTCTCTCGACAAGGGTATTTGGAGCTGCCAGTACCTGTGCAAAAGGTTTTACTCTATAGTAGTGAAACCTGGACTTAATCCTGTGCCTTGGAATCTTGATGCCTTTTGTAATAGGTCCTTGCACCAGATCTTGATGCCTTTT